CAAACTCAGATTTGATTTCTTTGGAAAACTACATGTAGAGTATGGCAAGGCTCTAGGAAGCACATAACGTCTCCTTGTTTCTCTTTCTGTGATTTTAGCAACCACTGGAGCTTAACACCTATGTGTAATCATTTGTTGGTGGTTAAAAAAGTTGAGACTTTAATGCTGTCATTTCATTTCTATTTGCTTGTTAGAATACTTTAATAAAGAAATCCTTCCTCTCAGCTACTGTTTGATTACCCATAGCAGAATTAGTGGGAAAGGTAGGATAACAGATTAATTCTTCTCTCCATTAACTAATTTTCATGATGAGTTAATTTTTATCAACCTCTAGGGGTAGACAATTCTTTTTAGCTATCACTATGTGCTTATACATACAAATAAGTTTGGCCGTTCAATACATTCTAATTAAAATTATTGAAATTCACTAATTTTGCTTAATGGAACACTAGCAAAGTTGGCCCTTAAACCATTTTGAATTGACTCCGTTAGTTTTTGATAGCTTACTCTCTAACTCATATGATAAAATTTGCCACACTCAGCTTGCACATTTCCTGTCTCAAATCTGGAATCAGTGTTGTCTTCAATAATCCTAGAATGCTCTTAGTCAGAAGTGACATTTCAAGACCTCAGTCTGGGTCTCATTGCTATTGCATTAGTCACTGTATCTAGGTCTTTATAGTGGAAAGAGGTAGAAAATATTTACAGGTAGGAAAAATATATATATTAGCTCTGTCCACATAAAAGACTAAAAACAAAGACCAACCCAGTAGCAGCTTCCTAAGTTTATACTGATATTTGCAATCAAATTTCAAGACTGAGGAGATTTTAATTAAACTCTTCTCTATTGTATCTATATGTCCCTATTCCACACCAAGAATTACGATTCTCAGGGGTACAGGGAATGATAAATTAGAACATCCACTAATTATTCATTTTTTTTAATTCTCAGAAATAATAATACTAACACCATTGAGATTACTGAAATTAAGTAAACTAATGCTAGAAAAGCTTTCTTGAATCCTGGCTTATTCTAAAAGTACAAGAAAACTAATTTCACATGAAAGTAAACAACAAATATATCGAGTTTACATTCCATACAAAGTTATAAGAAGAAGAGAATAAGGAACATAATTATATAAATGTACACATTCACAAAAGATAAGTCTAAAACCTAGCCTCATTTTAGTAGGCCTTAATTTCTCCTAATGCCAAGGGAGAAGACAAGGATTTCAACCATCAGCTTCCTATACTGAAGTTATAAACCAGTGTTATTAGGCTAGAAAATTAATTAGAGTATAACAATTAGAAAAGAGTTGTTGAAACTAATAATATTTATAAAGAATCTGTTTATTGAGAAATTTAAGAAAACTAGTCGAAAACTATGAGTACTTCTATGAGCAGTAATAGCAGTAATAGGATTCAATAAGGTAACAGGATACATGAGTCTCAGGTAAAAGATGGCCATGTTCAGGATGGACTGACTGCCATAGCACATTATTTCCTGCCATAAACAACTTGAAAACTGGAAAAATATATAATACGACTCTTTTAAAGTGCTAAAAATTGGTAGCATAGACCTAGCAGAAGAATGACAGGTAAGGTGATCCATACAACTTCAACTGCTTTCTTCGAAGACTTCAAATGAGGGAAGAAATGTAAGTGTCATTAGAAACTGAGACGTTTACAGGGGTACTCCTCAAATAGAGCAAAAAATACTGTTTGAAGTTGAGGAAATTGTGATCTGAGCTCAGTAAGAGCAAGAGGGCTCAAATTTGCAAGAAGAAGTACTAGAAAGAGCTCCAGATATTTGTACAATGGTGCCTTTGAGTCTGGCTGAATATCAAGTAGCTCACATGCAGAATAAAACTCCATGAGTATTGGCAAAGGATACCTACCACAAGATAGAAGTGAACAATTTCCAGAGCTCACACAGGGCTCAGAGACATCCAAGTTCTTAGCATCTAGAATAAGAAAGCCTTAATGAATACTGAGAATTCATTAGAAACTTAAGAATCATCATACCTTAGTAATTGAGGCTACTCTAGATTCACAGTAACAAAGTTTAAATGAAAGTCTTTAAAAACAAAGCTGATCCTTAAATAACTGCTGGCCAGGACTAACTCCATCATCATTAAGTGAAGATTAACAAAATCCTGATATGTAACATCAGCAAATTCAAAATGTTCAGCAGGCGATAGTTAGTAGACATCTGAAGGAGCAGGAAAATGTGGCATCATCTGAAGGAAACTTGGCATAAAAGCAGGCTCACAGAGATGAATTTTCAGAAAAGAACTTCAATACAGGTATTTTAAATTGTTCAAGTACTTAAAAGAAAGAAGAGAAAAATGAGAGCTATAAAAAAATTGAATTTCTGGAGCTGAAATTAAAAATTTACTGGATACACTTGGCAACAGATTAGCACTGCAGAAGAAAAGATCAGTGAACATTGCTATGAAGACTAGCAATGAAAATGTCTGAGGAACAGAGAGAAAAGAGGTTGAAAAAATTGAATAGTTCTTAAGTAGTCAGTGGAACAATGTCAAGGGGTCAACATACCTGTATTTGGAGTCTCTGAAGACGAGAGAAAGAGAAACAAAAAATGGAGAACCAGTGCCTGAAAGTTTCCAACTTTGATGAAAACTATAAACTCACAAGTTCAAGCAGCTCAACAAACCCCAAGTAGAATGGACATCTTTTGTATCTTAATCAAATCTTTAAAAAATCAGAGATAAAGAAAAAATCTGAAAAGTAGCCACAAAAAAAAGACATGTTAAAGCATAAGAAGTGTTCTATAAATTACCACTGACTTCTCATCAGGAATAATAGAGTCCAGAAGAGAAAAAGGCAATGTATTTAAAAATGCTGAAAAATAAACAACTGTCAGCCTAGAATTCTATCCTGTGAAAATATCTTTCAAATTGAAGGTGGAAAAAAAAAGGAAGATATTTTCGTAAAAATGAGCAAATTTGTTTTCAACCTGCCTTCCCTATGGAATATGTTAAAGGTCTTTAGGCTAGAGAAAAATGAGCCCAGATGGAAACTCAAGTCACAAAAGAGTGAAGGGAGCTGGAAATGACAAACATGTGGATAAATATGAAAGCCTATTCTTTTGCATTAAAAAAAAAATATTTAAGGGGCCAGCCTGGTGGTGTAGTGGTTAAGTTCATGCACTTTGCTTCGGCGGCCCAGGGTTCACAGGATCAGATCCCAGGCATGGACCTAGCACCACTCATCAAGCTATGCCGTGGTGGCATCCCACATAAAATAGATTAGCATAGACACTAGCTCAGCAACAATCTTCCTCAAGCAAAAAGAGGAAGATTGGCAACAGATGTTAGCTTGGGGCCAATCTACCTCACACACACCAATATATATATATATATATATATATATATATATATATATTTAAAAGATAATTGTGCCCAAAAGAATGATTATTAGCTGAAGTCACCATGAAACATCCATACTTTTCTTCCTCTCCTGCTTCCGCCTGTCCACATAGGCAAAGAGCAAATCCAGATGTCTCCCAATTGTCTCTCAGGCCTTTGTACGGGCTATTAATGTAGTTTACTTGTTTCCATATTTTCACACTCTCTCTCTCCATATTTCTATCAGCTTGTGGATAGCATATCTTGCACATAATGTTAACAGATCTTATGACAAATAGTTCAGTAAGTTTATATCTTTCACTCCTCTGGATATAGTAATTCAAATATTGTCTTAGGGACTGGATGAAATCCATCCTCCTAGGGTATTCCCTTGGTCTTATTCACTTTTACAAAATTAAACCTCATAATTATAGGGAATGCTCATAAGCACCAGAGGACATCATGGTGGAAATGTGGTCTGCATTATCAGCATCCATTTCCAGCCAAACTTGCCATAAAATGCCCTCATGGATAATGTTTTTAGCAGCCAATTTTCAGCCAAGGGGAATTTAAAAGTATGTTCAAAGCAAAAGTGGCAGAATCAGGAGAGAGTATGTATAAATATACACTAAATATTCTTTAATTTCAATTCTGCAAGTATTTTGAGATAGTGCCCCTGATAACTACTTTCTTGAAATCAATAATTTGAAAGGACTGAAAATAAAATAAATTTTCTTTTAGATTTGTTAACTTATTTTTTTAATACACTCAATTTTAGAAGAATTAAAGCATTCACCACGGGAGATCTAAGGCTCTTGGAAAGACTCAAGCACGCTCTGCTAGTGATCAAAGGTTCTAATAATTCTAGATCTTCTTTTCCGCTGACCTCTAGGACTTTGCAAGAATGACTCACTTGATATCTATTATCTTTACTTTCTTTTTCTATAAAATGTGAGTTATGGACTAGATCAGTATTTCTTAGATATTTAGGTTTCATGAAACAGTAAAAGAAGCAGAGTCTGAATCAACTTGGAGATACCATTTGTTTATTAATAAGGACATAAAATAAATGAACATAAAAAGTGCCATGGTTAGTTAAAATATGTCACTAAAAAGAACATTTTAACAATAAAAAGGCAGAAGGATAAATTCAAAGTAAGGAAGTCCTTCATATTAAAAAAATAAATATATAGCTTAAGAAAAAAATGCATATTGTCCTTTTTATCCTCATTTTCATCATGGACTGGTAAAAATTTCATAAATGTCTAAAATCATTCCATGAATCTGTGCTTAAAAATTATTGAATTGAATGCTTTCTACTCTCCCTTTCAACTATAAAACTCTGTGATCTACAGTCTTAGTTTGATCCAATATGTAAAACAAATGTAATTAATATAACATAGCATTATGTCAACTAAATATAATTTGCTAATTCAAATAGTTTAAAGAAGTAAAAATGCTTTTTTAAGAATGAGGGAAAGTGTTTCCTAATGTTTGATGTAGTACTTTGCCACGATACATTTTCAAACACACTACACACATTAAAGAACTTTCGAAAAGTTCCTGCGGGAAATGACAGTGTCATTTGGGTCTATTAAAGCATCATTCTGGTTGCACAAACTAGAAAGAGAAGTTCCACTGTGGTAATGCTAGTCTTTATCTTAAAGACCAAGAGTCATTCTGCAAATTTGTGGTATCATTTCCCTAAACAACTCAGGACCGAACGGTACTTCTGTTCCTCACTTCTACATTTCTGCAGAAGCTGAAACGCAGCTCTTGACTTTTTTTAAGCATTACTAACAGACTTGAGATAACTTTTTCATCTACCATGTATAACTACGGAGTAGCATTAACATGTGAAGGATGTAATAAATTAGACGTCTCTTCATTTTAGAGAAAGAAGATGGAAACATCATTGGTTTTCTTTTCTCAATTAAATATGTGCGAATCAAAAGAAAAAACTTTTTTCAAGTTAATACATGGTTCAGGAAAAGAAGAAACAAGCAAAGAAGCCAAACTCAGGTAAAGTCATACTTTTTAAAATCAGCCTTATACTTTTAAAAACAGGATGGATGTTGAAGATTTGTTAGCATTTATTTTTAAAATATCTGGTCCAGAATATACTGATTGTACTGTTATGATTGAAAAAAAGTCTTTATTTACTAGGAGTAAACAACTGTTAAATCTAAAATATTTTCATTTAAAAAAAAAGAGCAACAATTTTAACTACAGAGAAGAACTGGTAACAATCTTTGTTGAAATATAATCTCAAATACTTTACAGTTACAGAAGGAAAAAACAAATATATTTTACATACGCCTACCCAAATTCCTCCACAAACATGCTATTTAAATGAAATTCTTTAGGAATATCATTGTGAGTGTGCGATGAGTGGGGTGTGGGTGAGAAGGGGTGTTTAGGTAATTACCAACTCCAAACTTGTCTGATATCAGAAGGAGAGGTTTAAATTGTCATTTAAATTGTCCTGAAACTCACGCCTTCTCTTTTCAGAGCTAAGGAAAAAAGAAACAGGTTAAGTCTGCTCTTGCAGAAACCTGAATTTCATGAAGAGACCCACTCCGGTAGATCCGGGCACTTAGCCAAAGAAACGAGGTGAATAACTTTTAATTATTTGGGGGATATTTTGCTGATTCTACCATGAAAGATTTAAGAAAGAGGAAATTAGGGATTTCCATTTTATTGGAAATTATACAGTAATATAAAGAAGGTTAGAGATCTCATTTCGACAAACTAGAAATATTCCATAAAATTAAACCACTTTAATAGCTGGAATCAAATAATCTTATAAAAATGTAAAGGTGCTCTTTTAAAATTATATAGCTGTCAATTTTAATGATATATTTTACTCCTTATAAACTGATGAAATAGTCATTAATTTAAGTGTTTTCACAATGTGATATTGTCATAGAGAAGAGCTATTCATCTCTTTCCTTAGTAGTTTGAAAAAATGCCCTACGTATAAAAGCAAATAAAGCACAAAAAGGGATATTTTGCAATTTTTAGCCTTTTCTTGAATTCAACCAGAAAATGGAATAGCCTTATATACTAGTATAATAGAAACCCTTCCAAATATGAAATATGACCAATAAAATATCCAAGATAAATATATTCAGCTCTCTAAATTATCAACAACTCTGAAATATTTTTTGCATTAAAAATGCTTTGTATTTCTTGCCCTTTATAACTTCATTAGTCAAACTTCCTGTATCTGTTAAAAAAAAGTTGCCACATATTGTGGTAAGAGCTTCAAGGAAATTACAGTTAAAAAAAACTTTGACTGAAAGATACTGCCAGTTTAGTTTCTTCTATTTGCTGAATTAAGAAAGATAATTGACCCGATTTCTTTTTCTTTGTTTTTAACCTAATACATGATTAATTTTTCCTTAAAAAAATCATAATTCATATACTCATGAGAAAATATTTAATGCTTTTTAATACATTGCTTGATAGGCAAAATCCCAAAGAAAGTTGACCAATGGTTTTGAAATTTTTGGCGTAAATACAACTTTCGTTATGTAATGAGCAAAGGAGAAACTCTGTGAAATATGACAGAAAAGAGCAGTATCCTAGCAGATGTCGGAGCAGATTCATAAACAGACTTTCTGCACACTCCATCATAAAACATTTTGTTTCTTGAACAGAATCTCCCCTGCAGAAGCCGTGATATGGGGTGAATCATTTGACAAACTGCTCTCCCATAAAGGTTAGTGGTATTTTTCCCAAATACTTTCTGCCGTAATGGAAATTATACAAAGTATGCATGTAACCATACAAAACAGGCTGTCATAAATATTTAGTCAGATTGGTAATTTACAGCAATCTGAGTTTCTGATCAATAGAAATAACTAAATAATAGAATAGGCAACCAATGGAAACTGTTTTTAGAAATATTCTCATTTCATTAAGAATTGCTTATTGTGGTCAAAATATTATTTCTTTGTGCTGTGGCTAATAATTTCAAATCTTTAAATTTTTTTATTTTTGAAGGAAACTTGGTTTTACTAAATCCCAGATTATCCATGTGATTTTTATTTTTTTATTTATTTTATTTTTTTGAGGAAGATTAGCCCTGAGCTAACATCTGCAGCCAAGCTTCCTGTTTTTGCTGAGGAAGGCTGGCCCTGAGCTAACATCCGTGCCCATCTTCCTCTGCTTTATATGTGGGACGCCTGCCACAGCATGGCTTGACGAGCAGTGCATAGATCCGCACCCAGGATCTGAACCGGCGAACCCCGGGCTATCGAAGGGGAACGTGCAAACTTAACCACTGCGCCGCCAGGCTGGCCCCTGATTTTTATTAAGCGATATAACATTTAAACTAGTTCTTTTAATGGACATATAGGAAACTCTCATGAAAGTAGTTGGTTTTTTAAAATTTTATAAATACCTCACTTGTCACTCATCTGTTTTTAAAGCAGAATTTTATAGAAGAGTTGAGAATCAGGAGGGGAATTTGAGAGGAAGCTTTGTAGATGAGATGGAAGTGAGGACAAATATTGAGTCCCCAGTTGACTGTCCAACACTATGATCACTCTAGGTTAGAGGACAGGCTGCCTGGCTTGCTATTCTTTAGGGTCACCTTACATAAGGCAGCAGGTGAGCGAGCTTTTTTGTCTTTATTCAGTCCACGATTTCTTTCCGGTAGCGACACTGATGAGTTTAACTGGGTAGGCTGTGGGCCAAGGCAACCACAAGTCCATGATTTTCCACAGTGAACCAAGTAGAGTCTGCATAAGAAGTACCACTTTCTCATTACCGAATATCCACACGCTTCCTCAAGCCTTCAGCTTTGATTTGTGTCTCAAATTTTCTTGTTCCTTACTTCATTCTTTGAAACAGAAGCACTTCCCAGATCCTCCTCTGACCATTCCAAGATGAGGCTGGCCAGACTACTCTAACTACTGTTATTCTAACTACTGTTTACAGCTTTGCAGGCGGGTTTCACATTCTAAGGTGTCTCCTGGAAGGAGCTCCTGTTGCTAAGACAGCTGGGAGTGTAGTACTCATAATTCAGCTTCAAACGCTCCGTTTGATGAAACACCAACTTCTCTTCTCTGTCCTCATTTTCTGTATTTTTCTCTTCAATTGTCCTTCTCTCTATAAGGTCTTGCTGAACTCTTAATGGTCCCGTTAATTTACTGACATAAGAATTCTATTTCTGCAGACTATCTCTCAATACTTTCTTTGTTTCAATGAAAACAGATTCTACCTCTGAATTGTAGTATTGACTCTGAGAAGGGAAAATATAGGCAGAGAAATCAAGGCTTAAATTTAGGCAAGGATGTAATCACTGAAAATGGAGGGTAGTAGTAAGAAAGGAAGTTTATGCTGAAAAATGTAACTTGACTCCTTCCTCCTTATTTCACCTTAATACTGTCACTCCCTATTTTGGAGAAGAGTAATTTAAAGAGCTTTTCTCAACTATTCACTTTCTTCATTCTCAACATCCAATCATTTCTTAACTATTGTTAAAATTCTTGCCAATCATATTGTCCCATCCTCACTAACTCCACCGCCACTGTCTTGGTTGAGACAGTTATCACTTCTTGAGACTAATTACAACCGCCTGTGTAAACCTTTCCTCCATAATTCATGCCCCCTCAAAGTTGCTTCTATTTTTTAATCTCATATTGTTTCCAAGATTTGGGCACATCCCGGCCCTTCAGTCTCTTCACCAGACAGAGCAAGGAGAAAAAGAGAAGTGGAATTCCTTTTTTTTGCTATTGACTGTTTATTATAAGGAAGCAGATGTCTTTTCATCTGCGAATCCCCAAATCCCACAAACCACCTGGTATATATTAAGTGCTCAAATAGCATAACCACATTTGTTGCTAGAGAGAAGTTAGTGCAGGGTTCCTTTGAGATTTGAGTTCCGGTTCTCTTCTACAACATAATGGTTGTATAATCTTAGTTAAACTAATCCCTATAATTTCAGTTAATCCTCACCACTCTGGACATTTAACTTCCTCAAGTGTAATTGTAGATAATAGTGTCATGTCCTTAGCTCCGATAGAAATATATTTCTCTCAGGATTAAATGAGACGAATAAGAAACCAGTAACTGTTTGACATTACACAAATGCAAATGGTGTCTGGTACTATGAAAAATAATAATGATCAACAATAAATTTAATAATGTTTTTCTGTTTCCCAGTCTACTCCCAATAGGATAAACATCGCTCCCAGGGTTAAATTTCAATTGAAAGAAATATATGAGCTGGATTTATTTCTTTAACTTAATAAATTGGTGTGTAATAATTTCATGGCACTCTCCCAACACATTCAGAGAGACGCAAGATTCAGCAAGGGCAGTTAGTCCCACAGAAAATCCTGCCCTGGCATCTGTAATCATTCTGCTTTACGAGTAGTCAAAACCAAATGGAAAGAATTGAATTTGTTGCTCTCTCTCTTTTCTCTACTGGGGAAATATTAAAGAACTGTAAGATAGCAGTGATTGGAATCAAAAAGGGATAACACAAGTAACAAAAGTCAGCACTGATCCACTTGGAGACTGTTATCATCGCTCATGATCAAAATGCTAATTAAATTATGCTCAATTCACGAAAAATTACGTTACTAGTATTTTTTTAAATCAATCCCCCCAAATTCAATTATTTTTCATTGCAAAGCTTATTGCAATATTAAGTTACTAAGCTTAAAATAATCAGCTAAAAAATGTTATTGGTTGCAATGGTTAAATTCAGCTCATTTCTATTGACTTGACTCTAGGCAAACAAAAAAGGAAGATCTTATATTCATACTTGCACACACACACACACACACACACATGCACTTCAAGAAAGACCTTGCTCAATCAAATTTTATAGAATTTCCCTTTGGTTAAGTGTGTAAGTTTCTCGAATTCTGTATGTCATGTCTGTATAAAGGAAGTAGAAATATTATTAAATGTAGTCAAATGGAAAATGAGGTAAGTCAAACAAAGTGCCATGGAAATTTGCGTATTCAGTTTGACAAAAATGACGGATATTAAAATCACTGTAGACCGATTATCAGCATCTTTGGGAATGGAGCCACACAGAGGAGATGGTTCTTACTCTAGATTTTAGGGAATTAATCAAAATTCACTAGCTGGGCGAGGAGAGAAAGACATTGTCCAAGCAGAGAACCAACAGAGGTATGGGGCATCAACCAGTGCCATTTATTTAGGGAACCAAAAGGAAAGTAATTCTTTGTTGAGAAACATAATTTGAAAAAGGAAGGGTGGCTTACAGTCACAGACAATAGATAGATGAGACTAAAACAGAAAGCGCATGGGTTTTGCCATATTCCACAGAAATCAAGGCTCCGTGGAGCGTTTTGATAATCCCACTATTTTATTGAAATTTCATTCTTAGAATGTAGTTGAATCCTTAAAATTAAAAAAAAGAAGGTAAAAATCCAATAAAATCTAAACAAAGTATGGACTTCAATTAATAATAATGTATCAAATATTTGTTCATTAATTGTAACATATATACCTTACCAATGCAAGATGTTAATAATAGGAGGGAACTGGATGTGGGGGATATGGAAATTTGTATTTTCTTTATAACTTTTCTGTAAATCTAAATCGATTCTAAAATAAAATGTTTATTTAAGGAAAATGAACTCAAACACATTATATAGTAAATTTTAACACAATGAAGTCCCTCAACAGTTTAACTTCTGTTCCTCATTTGTTTCCAAGCAGATATTAGGATAAATAAATTTTTCTGCCATCCCTGTTTATTGACAAATTTGCCTGAAATTGCAAAATGAATTATAAAAATCTATAATTTAACAGCATATATGCAAATCAATAATTTCTAATGATGTTTAATAAAAACAAAAAGCACAAATAAGTCAAAAAATAATATCAGACTATATTGGTCAGTCATAATTATCAATTTCAAATTTAGTCATCAGTCTTTTTCACTGATTGACTTTTTAAAAGTAAACGTTTTCAGTGGGAATCTAGCGAATCAAGTAATTCCAACAAAATTTTATTTCCATATATTATACTCACACATGTATGTGCGTGTTTGTATACATATATATGGTTCTGTGTAAGACATCTTTGGAAGTAAAATAATGTTGCTGAGTCATACATAATTTTGAAAACAATTGGCTAAATAGTTTAAAAAATGCTATCGAACTTTCAAAGGATCACACAGACTTTAGAAAATCATCAAAAGAGATTAGATAGATGTGTGCAAGATTTCAACAGGCAGAAGAAAAGGTAATTCTTGAGTGGAGAAAAAGACATGAAAACAGCTAGAGAAATTAGAGATTTTGCTGCCACCTGGAAAAGCAAGCAGTTCACTTTCACTGGGGCAAAGAGTAGTGAACAAACACACTGGAAAATCAAGTTGGGGAAAAACTTTGGAAGTGTGTTTGTTGGAAAGCTAACCCCGATGCATAGAAAGGTAGAGTTCTATGCATGCAGCATGGACTCCCTCCAGGACCGTTACAAATAGAAAAACTAACCTCAAGGTAAGGGCTATTTTGGAAAGAAAATGGGTGAACTTGGTGACTGAATGTGTACATATGCTGCAAAGTGAGAGGATGAAGAAATAGGAGATGGAGAAAAAAGATGAGCCAAAGATCCCTAGATTTTATTCCATATTAATAGAAGATAATTGTGCCTTTTACAAACGAGAAATAGAAGTGGAAAAACAAGGTTTGTGAGAAGATGATAGGTTAGAGTTTGAACTTATTTAGTTGC